CCCGACGCGCGTTTCGGTGCCTTAGGAGATGCACCTTCGTCAGGGGCCTGGCCTGGCCCCTGACGAAGGTGCATCTCCTAAGGCACCGAAACGCGCGTCGGGCGTTTTTCCCATCCTTTATGAGCACTGGGCACTGGTGTTTATAGCACCATGTTTGGCACGATTTTCATGGGATTTTTTTTGGTTTAATATATTTTTCACCATATTTTCTTCTGCTCCTATGTCTATCTAGTTAGCTTACCAGGGAGAGAGGCTTTTCTAATTATAAATTGTCAGTTTTTTAGAAACTGCACATTTGCATTTCTATTTTCCCTCTCTCTCTGTGCTCTACACCTAATCCTGTCCTGTATGTAATTGGAGGTGTTTTGTATCCTTGTTATTTACTGTCTCTGCCCTAGATAGGGGTTTCATGTGGCACCTATTCAATTCTATTACAATACTCAGCCTACTAATGGTAGTCAGGTATTAGGTATGCATACCTAGAGACAGTCCTGTTATAGGTTTCTTCTATATTTATTTTTACTTTAATTCTTCTTACTGGACTCATCCCAACTTAATATATTTTTTCTAATAAAGTGTTTATAGAGATAGGGCTGTTTGTCCAGTATTCATGTACTTTAGGTATCTATTCATGGGGTTCTGTACTTTGGGTGACATGGGAGTATTAGTTTCACTGCTATAGGATTATCCAATATGTATGTATGTTATACTAGCAATACCTGATTTCTAGTAGTCCTTATATCATTAGCCAGTTTATATAGAGGACTACATAGCTATATTTTGATTTCCAGGCGATGCAGCAGGTCTCAGGGGTGTTTATGCACTGAGTACTTGCAGTATCTTTTCTCTTCATTTCTAATATACATGATAGGAATGAACATCCATAAACGAGTAAAGTATAAACCTTTATTGTTGCTTGTTTCTCATACAATTCACAACATTTAGGTCCAGACCTTAATCCACAAAAGTAACAGTTCCTTGTTCCCTCAATCAGTAAATGCTAGAGCAGTGAAGGTAAGTGAAAATCTTAACTCCACCGCACCTCCATGTTGTGGGCAACAAAGTCGTCCAGCAAAGCCTTGGGTACACTCATGTGCTCTTGAACATATGTCTCGAAATTCCATAGAGCACAGGTATTGTACATGCACATGCGCAGTGCAAACATCATTGTGGGGGGTAAAAAATGTATATGCCATGTCTGGTGTACACAGAAATTAAAGCTAAAAAAATTGAGATTTGGCAATTCACATTCGGAATGAAACAAATTGCACATGTCTAGCGGACACAGTTTAAACCCATTAAAATAGGTGGTATAAAACAGTATTATGTTTATTCATTAAAGTGAGAATTGCTGGCAATTAAAAGTGATTTTAAAGGCCAAATTAAACAGTCAAACTGGAAGTTTTTCAAGTCAGTTATGCTTCCAGTTTAGCTTTATCGGCCTTAAATTTTAAATTCACTTTGGATTCCTAACAATTTTTGTGAATAACCCGGTAATTGTTGCGTCTCACTAATAGAATGACTACCGAGCACAGTCTGCCTCATTCTACCAGAATTGATCAGATCCATATCCCACATCTAACCATCTATCTAGCATTTTTTCATAAACCAGCACTTAGCCTGCATGAAGGAGCCCTAAGGACTAAAACATCACTAGATACATGTGGTATATACATTTTTTTCACACACACAGAATCATCTGATGTGGTTTGCATCCTGGTGTTATCAGATTTACATAAGTATTATATATATATAAGGGAGCATTTCATCAGATAGACAAAGCGTAGCTGATCACAGCACCTTGGCTATTCAACATGAGTTCCACCGGCCCCAAGCATTATCATGATGAGGCATATCCGGCAAAAAGATTTGTTGAAGTTCACTTTTGTGACGATAATTTCCCATTAATAAAGGAAAACGTGGAATTTCCAATGGAGCAAATACATAAAGACATCGATTCAGGTCTGTACATATTTATATATTTATTATTAACCCCTTAAGGACAGAGGCAATTGAACTTGTTCTGACTAAAACAAAACCTAGAATTTGAGCTATATGTTTGTTCAGCCATAACTGACATATTGCACCCACACTTATTATATATCATTTTGCTCAGGAGAAATAGGACTTTCATTTTACATCAAATATTCATATATGGAACACAATTAAATTAGGATAATATCTAAAAGAGTGTGGGAAGCTAAGACATTTTGTTATTTACAAAACTTTGAAAATAACAAAATGTCTAGGGCCAAATATGAGCCTTGCAAATTAAATTCTCTGGACTTTCTGCCTGGGTTGTTAGGTAGGTTCCTCAAATTATAATTAATAAAATCACATAATAATGTAAAAATAATACATAAATAAACATGCAGAAATAAAATATATTTTAATAATATCACATAATTTTGTAGAAATAATACATAAACATACATATACAAATTCACGTAAACATCTCATGTATACATACATAGACATACACAATTACAAACATATACAAGCACACCCTTCTAAACGCAGTTGGGTTCCATATTTACCACTATAAAGTCCTAAAGCATAGAATTTAGCAGGGCTAACCGTATAGATATCTTAGCAATAATTTGATGTAATTAGCAAGAGTTCCTCTATTTAAAGTATATAAATAATTGAAAAATTGAATATAAAATAGGGATTTTCTGGGAAGCAATGAAGTTTGCCTTTTAAAATATTTTTTTTAAATATAAATATAAATATAGACATATAAAAACTTAATAATCCATTATAATAATTGACAGCAGAGTCTGTAAGATTAAAGTATATGCTAGAAATGTCAGTGAAATAGAATAACATACCCTCCTGAACATGTCAAACCCTCAGTCATGATATAATGGAGCAGCGTCTTTGCATCCAAAATCCTCTCCTCTGTCTTTCTAATATTAATAAGTACACATAGTTATACCAGAGATTTCAATAAGGTCATGTTAGGACCTACCTTAACTTAACAAAGATCTTAATCAGTCTATTGTCATGACCTAGACATCTTATCTATGTTTAGACTAAAACGTAATTGTGTTTTTCTCTATTTTGACATATACACATGTAACAAAGTTTTTGTAATGTGTATTTCATAAATCTGGAGTGTGCTATTCCTGCACAGAATATTGTGTTCAGCTACATCTGCTGAGTATAACAATACCCCCATTGTATGCCTTTGGCACTTTTCTGTAAAGCTACAATGCCATATAAGAGACAAGGCTATTTCAGTTTCTATAGTTAGAAGTTTCCTAGATGGATTTGACTGGCCTATGTCTCATTTTAGGGTATTTTAGCAGTATGACTGTTCACATAACCCCACAAAGGGCTTTCATTTTATAAAGCAGACACCCCAGGGTATCTTATAGGGTGTATATTGTGCCTTAACTTGTCACCATTTTTTCACCAATTTCTGTCAATATTCGTGGTGAGGGGGGAAAAATTGCAAATTTACATATATGTTGCATTTTTGCTGAGTAATTCTTATACTTGATATGTACCACTGTCATAACAATCCCCAAATTATGCTCAGTTACATCTTCTGAGAAAAACAATATGCCCAATGTATGACCTAGATACTATTTTGTGAAGTTACACTGCTGTAAAAGAGACTTGACAAGTTTTTAAGTGTGAATTTTCATGGAGGGTTTTGATGCGTCCGTGTCCCACTTTGGAGCACTTGAGCAGGCTACATAATTCAACTACACTATAAAGGCATACCATTTCTTTAAGAAGACATCCCAGGGTATTTCAAAAGGCATATTTTGAACCTTAGCGTGGGATCATTATTCCGCTAGCTTGTACCAAGTGTAGTCGTAATAAGCATTTTGTCTGCCTTTTTGACACAAAATGAGTTTGCACAGTATATTTTGCAGTATATTTTGCAAACCTTATGTGTGCTACGACTGTTTAATACTTCATCATGGGCGTCCGCAGGGGGAGCAAGGGGGGGCACTTGCCCCCCCCTGGATTTTTCAGCTTGTTCTGATATTTTTCGTGTGAGATTTAAAATGAACTGCAATACCGGCGTCGGCCAGTAGGTGGAGCTGTGTATAGAGAGAGACAGGGATAGGAAGCTGCATCTATCCCTGCTTCTCTCTGCTGATTGAAACCGCAGGGGAACAACACATGCAGCCAGAGACAGCCTACAGAGCAGGTAAGTGAGGGATAGGGGGAGGGTTTGAGATAGCCTATAGATTTTTTTTGGGGGGCAGCAGCCTATAGATTTTTTTGGGGGGGACAGCTGCCTATAGATTAGGGAGTGAGGCTGGGGGGGGCAGCAGCCTATAGATTAGGGAGTGAGGCTGGGGGCAGCAGCCTATGGGTGGGGAGTGAGGATGGGGCATCCTATGGGTGGGAGAGAGTGAGGGGGGGCGGCAGCCTATAGATTGGGGAGTGAGGGATAGGGGCATCCTATGGGTGGGAGAGTGGGGTGGCAGCAACCTATAGATTAGGGGAGTGAGGGATGGAGGGGCAGGGGCAGCAGCCTATAGATTAGGGGAGTGAGGCTGGGGGAGGGCAGCAGCCTATAGATTAGGGGAGTGAGGCTGGGGGGGCAGCAGCCTATAGATTAGGGGAGTGAGGCTGGGGGGGCAGCAGCCTATAGATTAGGAGAGTGAGGGGGGGCATCCTATAGATTAGGGGAGTGAGGCTGGGGGGCAGCAGCCTGTAGATTAGGGGAGTGAGGCAATGGGGGGGGCAGCCTATAGATTAGGGAAGTGAGCATAGGCATGCGCAGCCTATTGCATTAGGGTGTGCACCCTAAAGCACAAACACACGCTGCTGTGTGTGTGTGTGTGTGTGTGTGAGGGTGCTGTTTGTGTGCTGTGTGTGAGGGAACTGGAAGTGTGCTGTGTGTGTGTGTGTGTGAGTGAGAGGGTGTTTGTTCGGGTCCTGTTGCTGTGTGTGGATGTTGTGTGTTTGTCAGGGTGCTGTTTGTGTGTGAGTTTGCTGTTTATGTGTGGGTGCTGTGCGGGTGTTGTGGGTGGGTTTTGTGTGTTTGTGAGGATGCTGTTAGTGTGCTGGGTGTTGTATGTGTGTGGGTGCTGTGTGTGCGAGGGTGATGTATGTGTGTGGGTGCTGTTTGTGGGCTGTGTGTGCTGTGTGTAGGTGCTGTGTGTGTGTGTGTGCTGTATGTTTGGGTGGAGGTGGGGCAGATTAGTTAATATCCCAGTCCTGCTGCCTTCCCTGGTGGTTCAGTGGAGAGTGAACTCTAGCCCGGGTTCTCTGCTGCCTCCCTCAATGCTGCTGTGGACCGGTGAGGTAGAACTTTGATCTCCCCACCGGCCCATGGAGGCTTAGACCAGAGCCGCCGCATGAGCCGACTGGGGAGATCCAGAGATCTCCCCTGCCGGTCTCAATCCATTGGCGTGCCGCGGGGGTTAGGGTGTGCCCAGGCACACCCGACACACCCTGTGCGCACGCCTATGGAAGTGAGGGATGGAGGAGACAGCCTACATGAAGAGTCAGCAAGGAGCAGGAAGGTAAGGTAAGAAAAGGAGAAGGAAAAGAAATGAGCAGGAAGGGACATCAAGGAGCAGAAAGGGGCAGCAAGGAGCTGGAAGGGACAGCAAGGAGCACAAAAGGTAAAGTAGGAGAAGGAGCACAAAGGAACAGAAATGAACAGGAAGGGTCAGCAAGGAGCTGGAAGGTAAAACAGCACAAAGGTCAAGTAGAAGGAGCAGAAAGGGTCAGAAATGAGCTGGAAGGGGCAGAAGGAGCACAAAGGTAAAATAGGAGAATGAGCAGGAAGGGTCTGCAAGGAGCAGGAAGGAGCACAAAGGTAAAGGAGCAGAAAGAATCAGAAGGAGCACAAAGGTAAAGTAGAAAAGGGAGCAGAAAGGGTCTGCAGGGAGCAGAAAGGGATCAGAATGAGAAAGGAGCAGAAGGGCGCTAAATAAGCAGAAAGTAGCAGAAAGGTAAAAGAGCAGAAGGGGCCAAGGATAGAAAACCGTGTCAGAAGAAAAAAAAAGACTCTCAAATGAAGGAGAGGAAAAGGAGATTGGAGCAGGAAGGACAAATGAAGCGAACCCTCCACTTTATTCTGGACACCACATCATAAGGCTTTGGTACCTGGGCCAGGCAGGGAAACGATGGACCTTCTCATCTCCAAAGGTAAAAAAATATCAGTATTAATGTGTTCACTTTTATTTACTGAATGTCAGGAAGCACAGAGTGCCGTTGGGTAGGGGTGTTGCTGATTGGCTAGAGCAGTCAGCTGGCACTCTAAGCCAATTAGTAGCTCCCCATTCATAAAAAAGTAAAAATATTTTATGAACCGGGAACTAGCGATTGGCTTAGAGCGTCAACTGTCCACTAAAGCCAATCAGCGGCACCCACGCCTGACGTCAATCTTCACTTCCTGACACTCTGTTTCAGAAGCCAAATACCACTGAGCGACCTGGAGCTGGAGGAAGCCTTTGGGGTTAAACCATTTGAGAGCGATTTAACCCCTTAAAGGAAAGCGAGCACCCAGGGGCTTCCTGGCATCATAGCATTTTAATTTAGGTGAAGTTGTTATGACGACCAGAATGGTCCTTTAATTTGCTTAAAGGAACACTATAGTGTCAGGAATACAAACATATATTCCTGACACCATAGTTGTGAAAACGCTATTCACCCTGGCTTTATGTGATAATGGCTATGCCCCTTCCCTTTCATGACACTGTCAAAAAGGTACCAAGCATGGATGTCATTACAATTATGCCCCCCCTGGAAAAATTCCTGCGGACGCCCATGGTAGGTACATGTGTTTGTAGTATCAGTTAGTTAGTTACACGTAGCTAGGATACTGTCATCACTGTACTGAGCATGTGCAGGAATGCAGGAACTGGAATTACGCGTCCCTCTCCTTTGTTTCAGATGAGCCACGTGGTTAGACCGGATGGATGAGTTTAGACTCTATTCATTGATTAGGTTAAGGGTATGTGTGGGCGTAGCTAATTATGGGAGGAGCTACAGTGCTATATAATGTCAGGGTATTTATATCAGCAGACATCTTGTGCTATGGTAGAAATTAAAAGTGTATATTCTGAGTCACTCTGAACAGAGCAGACTCTATTTTGTTATTTCCAAGTTAACAAAAAGACACAAGATTTCTATCTGTAAATTAACCACTTTCCCAGAGCTAAAGGAATGCATAGTATAAACAAGTGATAAGCAGAAAGGGGATTGAACAGACTGTCTAATGCTAATGGAATAGATTAATTCTAAACCCAGACAATTGTGACAGAGAAGATTAAATAATAAAATTTAACTGTCTATATCTATAAGGTCCCATTGTAAGTTACGGGTCAAAACTCAGATTTGCAGACACATAGTCTGGACAAAACTTAAAGAAACCCTTTGAAATTTTAAATTATGGCACTATAAAGATAACGCAAAATGGCGTCAAAATAGCCACCAGGAAAAGTTAACTCTTTCCTGGATAGGTATGTTTAGTGGGACAAGACTGCCCTCTATAGACCAAATAACTAATTTGCGATCTGGAAGATAACCACACCTCTAGTGCTTCTATTGGGTTATCAACTGATGACGTACAGAGAGTCTGGCCCTTTAAAAGTTAGGACAAAGGGAACATAGGCGAATGCAAAGGAGAAAGAAAAAGAGGAGAGAGGAATTGGAAGTTTGGGACTCCAACCTCCATGCAGAGAGACATCCAAATAAGTTCCTGAGACTATCTACCAATCGGATGAAATATCTACTCAACTGGTAATTATACTGGTTTCATTTAATTAAATTAAATTAATTAAAATGTATTAATAGCATTATATATGACTGGATAAAGCACGGTCAGATTTCCATATTAAGAAATCTTAGTTAACTAAAGAATATATAGTTATAAACATTCCATTCTGCAGGTGGAATTAAGAATAATTATATATTGATGTGATATTATCACGTGTTAGCATACCGCTGTTTTTATCCAGGTGTATTGATTTGCTCTAAATATAGATAAGATATCTTTTAGCCAAATTAAAATCTGCTTATATAATATGGTAGATTCTCTTATTGGATGGTTCCAGGAAATGACTAATGAACTGGTTTAAATGTTATTTTATTTAAAATGACATAAGAATAGATCTTAACTACCTAGGGGATTTAGCCAGCATTGAAAGGGTTATTCTAACTGTCAGCTAAACTTTACGACCTTACGCTGCACGCTGAGGAATTCTGTTCTCTGCGTAAAACTTTCTCTATGTCTGTGAAAGATAGTCATAAATAAAGTCTTGACAGAAAATGCTGTTTTAGCCGTTGAAACGTGTTTAGCCATTCCTTTGTATTGCATACCATTTTATACTGGATATTCATTGTTTATTGTCACGCATGTTACTTATTATTATTATTATTAATTAATTTATTATAAATAAAATCTATTTTTATAACAAATGGTGAATATTATTTATATGAAATACTTCTCACTTACGATAAACGTTCTTTGGGATCTGAGAATTGAATTAGTGGGCAATTCTCAACTGTTTACTATTATTATCTCATAAATATCCCCACAATAAGGAATGTATTCTATGTATTCAGTGCTCAGATCTTTGCTGTTTTTGGTGACATAAGTCCCTCTGAGTCCCGGTCGGTGAATCGAATAAAGATCTCTTCCTTCCTGAAGAAACCTGTGTCCATCTCTCTGTGCTTGGCCTCAGTCAGTTTCCCGGTAACAATAAGACTTGCTTTTCGCACTTTAACAGTGCTCTCACTACTGCAAGGGATTCTGGAAGGGGTCTGGTAGTGGTAGTGGGTTTGTCTAAGCGTTATATGCCTTTCAGTATATTCTTAACGGGATAGGTAGACATGAAAGGGTTTGTGCCCTTAGGATGTGATGCTGTATTCCTGTGAGGTAGAGTTTTATGGTGTTTAGTGATAATTTTAAGTTAAGGTGGCAAAAGGAGACAAAAGCCACAATGGAGTCTAGAGAGTGTGTGTTGCTTATCTGGTAATCTAACGTGTGTGTGTGTGTGTATATATATATATATTAACGTGTGTGTGTGTGTGTTTACATTTTTTTTTTTTTTATGTTTAATTTAATCCTATTTCAACCTTTAAAGTCCCATAAAACAAGTATTTCTATATAATAAAATTACTGTTATTAAATTATTTGTATGTTTGTATTTTATTTTATTTATTGTAATGAATTTATCCTTTTTATTTTGTGGTTTACTATGGACCCACCATTTCTGATGTTACACACAGTAAGGTAATTTCTTGGTGCCATCTTGTGGCCATTTAGGGTAATTGCATGTCTCCATTTGAAAAGCATCATCTCGTGCAATGTGTAATAAATCTTTTAAAAATCGAATTCTACAAATTTAATAAACTAATAAAATCAATAATTGAATTGTTAGATGTTTTGTGAAGTAAACCTGTTTATTGTTGTTTTTTTTTTTCTTACCAGAGAGCAAGTAACATTGTTTACTCACAGTGTGAATTAGCATTTCCTGTATCTGAGGGCCATCTTGTGGCCATTTTGAGGAATTGCGCCATTTAATAATTTCCAGCTAGTCCACAAATCTTGCTATTTATTCATCTAAGTGAGTTGTACAGCATGAGGACACACTGCCTGCAAGGGCTCTGTTGTGAATGTTTACCTGTGCATAGAGCTGCCAGCTTATATGGAATAGTGCCATGTGGGTACCAGTCACAGCATAGCTGTACATCCCCATATCATGTCAAAGATTAGACGGGTGGAATTGGGTGCCAACATTTATCTGATTATCAGGGAATTTCCATGGTGTAAGGCACTTATTTTATTAGTATTTTATTATATAGCGCCATCAGATTCCATAGCGCTGTACAATGGGTGGACTAACAGACATGTAATTGTAACCAGACAACTGGACGTACAGGAACAGAGAGGTGGCGGGCCCTGCTCAATGAGCTTACATTCTAGAGGATACATTGTGTGGCCCTTCACTGATTGCTCAGGCTCAGCCTTTACCTACTTGCTGCAGGTGGCTGTCACTAGTGGTAATTGTGGGCATCCTGTGATGTGTATATACACACATAGCAATGTAGCTTAATGTTGCAGTCATAGCACAGCTGAGAGCAGCCCCCTTCCAGCTAGATCCCTGCTGTGCTGTTCCAAAGCTTTACTAAGAATGATGTAGAGCCACTGATAGGACATGGAGGGATGGGCATTATAGGCCCCCGGAGCAAAGCAGTGCACTGGGACCCTGCCTACACAACCACTCACAGGAATAAAAATGTAAATTAGCTATCTTAACCATCATTTTATATAGTTAGTGTAAGAAATCCTCTATTTAATATATATAAATAATTGAGAATACAATATAAAATAAG